GATAGGTGCAATCTGATAAAATCATCTATTTTACCAAAATTTATCTTCTTATTCCAAGCCATTCCCATAGCTATATCCTCATTAATGCTTAAAAAATGGCAGAGCACTTTACAAGAATTCTTATGGGCAGGACACAAGGCAAGGATAGAATTTCACATCTTGCATAAACCCAAACCCTAAGGAGGATTTGGACTTCCTGACATTGCTGGCTAGCATAATCAAGATGCAATGTCCAACAACCCCACCAGATTGGGTCCGATTATGTTCAGATCTTCTTCATCCTTACTCACTAGACTCCTTACTTTGGGATGCAAAATTTAATCTATTAGTTTTTGGAAACAGTAGAGCATACTTACCTTAATTCTTGGGAAAAGGCTGGGCTGTTTCGCTGGTGTGACATTGCGTCCAAACATGGCCTGCTAAAACAAAGCAGAAATAGAAAGCATATTAAGATTACCACGCCATGGTTCCTCTACTAAAAATTACAGCATGTTACTAGCCGACTCAAAATCATCTCAATCCTCACTCAACCTCATACAGAGTTTGAACTGATCTTGAAATTATATGAGACAAAAAATAGAGGGTTGATATCAGCCACGTATCAACTTCTACTAAGGGACAAATCTTCTAAGATTATGCCATACCAAACTGCATAGGAACAAAGCACAAAAACCACTGACTAGAGATAACCATATGAAATGTGTAATAATAATTCAATAATGCAAAAATATAATTGTTATAACAAATATTGGCCAAGGTGTAACCAAGATACAGAAGGAAGAATAATGGAAAGAAAAATAAAGTCCCAAGTATTTTACTGTGTCTCACTCCAGTAGCGTTGTAATATCAAAGTCCAATTTGACATGCAATTCATCATGGAGTGGACATTTCAGAAGTTCCATAAGCCATAAAAAGCCATGACGCGTAGTCCAGATGCTGGCTGCCGCGTTTCGAGTTATTCATATTCAAAAGCAATAGGCTATAAGGGGACCCAATCTCAGTAGAAGGCACATACAAAGCCAGTATGATCAGTCAAGAAGGATTTTTGTGAGAGTTCCGGTTTAAGCGACTCGCCACTCAGACGCACCTTGCTCTGATGGGGTCGTCCCGAGCCTCGGCTGACGGGAGGGGTTCGAGCTGGTCCCGGACCCCCTGGGGTCTCTGTAGGAGACCCCCAGCCTGGGGAGCTGATGAGAGCCTCTTCCAAGGCGACAGCCGAGGAATTGAGGCACTCCTTTTCCCCCGATAGGTACCATTGCCGAGGAGCCAAGATGGCACTTAGAGACGACTGCCGGACAAGCAGACACGATCTAAGCGGGAAAAAAGGCTTCTAAGAAATTCCCGAGGCTTTAAAACGTGAGTTAAGCAATGCTCAAGTGAATTCAAGCGAGTATTATACCTCGAGAACAAATAGAAGCGCCTACGGCAAAGCGGGGGTGGTGGTGAAGGGGGAACTCAAGATCTCCCCCCACACACACTAAAACTCAAAGTGGTTTTGAGGCAGAAACAAAAGACTTTAAACAATTTTATTTGTTGGAGAATTTAAGAGAACTGATAAGCTGCAGATTGAGCTAAAGCGGAAAGAAATTGCATAACTTTCATCTTGTTTTGAGAAACTTACTTCTTGTTGATATTATGGCTGGGAGAGGGTGGAGGGTGCCGCTGGAGAAAAGAATGCAAACCGGAAATAGTCACCCAACAACTCCCTCCTCTTCAAACCAGGAAGTAAACTTGGACATGTCCACTCTATTAGCAAATGCGTTGCGCCCCCTAATGGAACAGATGACGAACGTCCGTTTAAAGCTAGATAATGTGCAATCCCAATTGACTTCTATGGACAAAAGGACTTCAGCAACTGAAAAAACACTGAAAAAGGTAGAAAAACAAACTGAACTTATAAAGCTGCTTACATTATTCCCCTTTCTCCTTTTTATCCTCACAACAACCCTGTGAGATAGGTTAGAGTGAAACTGACTCCCCAAAATCACTCAGTGAGCTTCCACAGGCAAATGGGGATTCGAACCTGGGACCCCTCCAGACATCACTCTGAAGTTCTAACTGCTGCACCACACTGGCTTTCATAGGGTTCCTGTTGTCGAAGGGTAGCAAGCAGCTAGGCCTAGCTGAGTCATGCAAATTGGGTGGTATTAAGTCACCCAGTGGTCGCTACGTGGCCTGGGTTGCAAGCCTCCAGGTAGGACCTGGAGATCTCCCAGAATTACAACTGATCTCCAAATGACAGAAATCTGTCCCCCTAGACAAAATGGATACTTTGGTGGGGGGACTCTATGGCTTTATATCCAGCTAAGGCCTCTTCCCTCACCAAACCCTACCCCCCAGACTCTACCCCAAAATCTCCAGGAATTTCCCAACCTGGATCTGGCCATCTTAGCCAGGCCTGGCCCCAATGAGTTTTCTCTCAAAGGCCAAAATAGGGCTGGAAAGGACCCTACACCCGCCTGGCGTTTTAGTCACAGAAACCCCAAGCCTGGAATGCTGTGGTTGCCTAGGAACAGCCACTGAGGTAATCCATCTGTTAAAGCTACCAGTTCTCCTTTTATCATTTTGGGGTTTCTAAACTCCTCCAACGTATCTTTTAAAATATTTCACATTTTCCAGCAATCCTGGGAAGTTTTTCAGGTTTGCAGAAAGGTCTTCCTTGCCTGTTCGCCACTCCAGTCTCTGGAATTAAGTATCTTCAAATTTGGCTGACTTCGCTATTAATATATAGATTTATATGGAAGCATATAATCCATGTAAGGTGAGAAGAAAATGGTGGGAAGAAGTGATATTTGGTAGGAAATTTAAATTGTTAATTTTGATGGGAGGACGCACCCTCACATGAAGAATTGGGAAGATCTGAGTTTGAGCTAGATGTCATATCAGAGGATATGACATCACACGGCAGGACATCACATCCTGCCAAGCTCACTCCCTAAACTCCACTCTCCCCAGGCACTACTGCCAAATCTCCAGGAACGTCCCAAGCCAGAGCTGACAACGCTGGGGAGGGAGTACGTATGGGTGTGAAGAGAAACATTTTTGAATCTAGACGAGACAGAAGAGCAGACAGATTTATGGGAGCTGGCTGAAGCACCTAGAGGGTGCAGAATCGCTCTCTCTGATGTGGAGTAGCGGACCTACTACCCTGTTTGCCTCTGCCTGTGCTGTACCAGCACAATTATAAATTAAGCAAATACTTTATAAATGCTTATGGACAACACCATAAGTCTCTAGTGCTTTCTTCTCCAAAGGGAAACAGCCCAGATAAGCAATGCCCCTGGAACTTCTCAATGCTCAGAGGAGCAAGGGAGCATATAACAATGTAAATGAACAACCACATAGGAAAGACTCTAAGAGAAATGTTATAGATAGGGTAGTAACCAGAGGGTAACTTAATATGTAAAGTGACTCTGAGGCACACAGCACTGGGGCTTACAGTAGTGTGGGATGGTGTCAGGGGGTAGCTGTATTAGTTTGCAGCAGTAGAACAAAATTCAAGGCTAGTAGCTCCTTAGAGGAGCTGCGGTGGCTCAAGTGGCTAAGACGCTGAACTGCAGGCTGTGGAAGGTCAGTAGTTCAGCAGTTCGAGACCCGGGTGCCGCATGACGGAGTGAGCTCCCATCTCTAGTTCCAGCTCCTGCCAACCTAGCAGTTCGAAAGCAAGAAATTGCAAGTAGATAAATAGGTACCACTTCAGTGGGAAGGTAACAGCGTTCTGTGTGCCTTGGTGTTTAGTCATGCCGGCCACATGACCACAGAAACGTCTTCGGACAGCGCTGGCTCTTCGGCTTTGAAACGGAGATGAGCACCGCAACCCTAGAGTCAGATTCGACTGGCTTTCGAGCAAGGGAACCTTTACCTTTAGCTCCTTAGAGACCAACAATATTTTCCAAGATATAAGCTTTCATGGGCCAGATATCTGCCATACCTGAGAAAGTGAGCTTTGACTCATAAAAGATTATACTATGGAATATGTTGTTGGTCTCTAAGGTGCAACTGGACTCCAATTGTAAACTGGTGGAGGTCACCACTTTTCCATTAAAAAAAAAATTGGTCAGAATAATTTTTTCCTCAGTTTGACCTGTCCTGCTTTCCTTTACATTGACTTGCTACTAATGAAAGGATGTTTCCCCCCACCCATAAGGTGGCCTCCTAAGTGTTCCCTCTAAGCCGAGTTAGTGTGAGCTAGCTCACAGTTTTGTAGCCTCCAGCTCACACAGTTTTGTCTGAGCTCAGGAAGGATGGCTCCCGAGCAAACTAATTTAGGCAGTAACCACATTGCTCGCCCACAACTTTAATGCCAGTAACTCACAAAGTGGGATTTTTGCTCACAAGACTCCACAGCTTAGAGGGAACATTGCAATCCCAGTCAGTTCTGTGTCTGGCTTACCATTGGTAGCCACACTTTTTAGAACTTTAGGATCAGCAAAAAAAGGAATCCGTCTGCGGCCAGAGCTATTGAAGTTAACTGGAGTGGTTAGTCCAGTCACCATTAGTTAGTAGAGTGCTTAAATAAAGCTACAAATGCAGGAGCATCACTTTACCACGTTACTCAGCTTACAAAGCTACACAGAGCCACATTGCAAGTTAAGATAAATGCTTCTCTCTTTATTTGAGAAGTACACTTTGGATAGGAAAGAGCAGAGATTGATAGATTACTCACTTAATAGCTAAAGGGTGGAAGAGAGGACCGCATGTCCCCCTCTTGGTGCATGCAGGTAGAGAGCATGTCTTCATCCAGAGTGAGAGAGAAGGAGGAAGGGGAAATTGATCCCTGAGAACACAATCTGCATTTCAAAGAGGACAGTGGCAGAAGAGCAGGTACAGGAAGAGATTTTTAATTATTAAATCTACTTTACCTGTTAGGCTATTAGATGTCCTTTTGTACAATCTTTTGATTCTACAAGATGTCCTTTTGACAATCTTTTCTTGCTAATACATTAACTGCCAATCCATTTACATAGTCCTGGACACATCCTTCACTTTATTGTACGCAGGTAAAAGCATCCTTCCACTTACCCCATCTGAGGAATTATTTTGTGGCACAGGAGCAATACATACATCTTGGTTGCCCACTTCCCAGATGATGCCCACAGGTAAGCCTACATCCATTGTCAGTCCATTTCCAAGCATGGCAGGCGGCGACACTTCCTGCACCACAGAGGCCACTTGGCTAACCTTTCACCTGGCCATGAGTGCAAAAAGTCCAGGGAACTTTCCCAGTCAATTAAGGGCCAGTCTTCCCCTGCACTTGAGGTGACTCATTCTAAGGAGATGGAGCCAGGTGCCCAGCTCTAGCACTATTTCTTGCATGTTTCCATGGGCTTCTCCTAAGGCTACCAAGCCCCCAGTGGGGGCAGGAGAAAAAAAAATGCAGCTTTGTGTAGAAGAACAAGAGGTTTTATACTCCACTCTTCACTACCAAAAGGAGTCTCAAAGCCGCCTACAATCGCCTTCCCTTCCTCTCCCCACAACAGACACCCTGTGAGGTAGGTGGCACTGAGAGAGTGGAGAATGTGGAGGAGGAGTGGAGAATCAAACCTGGTTTTCCAGATTAGAGTCTGCTGCTCTTAACCACTACACCACAATGTCTTTCCCTACTGGAAGTGATGAAGGGTAGCTCTAGGACATTTTGTAAAACATTAATTCCTAGGGTTACCATAAGTCAGAATTGACTTGACGGCACTAAACATACACAGCCATCGCTCAATGGTAAAGCCATACTTCCAGTAAGAACCTGAACCTACATTTTTTAAAAAAATTGTCCTGCAGTGTTGCGTTCCCCAACCCCAGCCCCCCCCTCTCCAGCTGCCAGTCACTTCCTGACAACCCTGGCTTCACCATCAACGAATGCTTAGCAAATATTGCCTCAGCAGAGGGAACTGCCAGGGCTTATCTCTGATTAATTCTATAAGACAACCTGGCATAGTTTGACAAGTTCTTTTTGTCATTCACTATTCTTTTTTGTTTTCTTCACTTTTTCCTAGGTCAGCCAAATACCTCCCCAAGAGTTGTCAATGCCATTAATTGGATAACAGCAACCATTGGACACAAGTTCTCATTTTCAGTACCTCCAGACACATTTTATGATCAGGAAGATGGAGATACATCTCAGTTGACCCTTGGAATGAGCCCAGTTAATGGTTCTCCCATAGGCCCTGGGAACTGGTTGCACTTTAATTCACATTTCCAAATCATGCATGGCTATCCACTTGCTAACGATTTCCAGTATTCACCTCAGGAATTTTTACTGTTTGCCACTGATTCTGGAGGGCTGAAGACTTCTGATACGCTGACAATAGAGCTACTCAGACCTACCACTATCCCGTGTCACAATTATACCATAAGAATAAAAAATAGCTACGACTCGTTCCTG